TCCTATTTTGGGTCACTCTGTACGTATACATAAAGCATTTTCGAACAAAGGAAATCTTTGTCGCGGGCGTGGCTCTGCTCTTGCTGTCGAGGATTTTTTACTGCATTAATGTAAAGGTCGTCAGGATTGTTGCATATTGTACCGGGGACTCCGAAACTATGCAAAAGTATGTTTAAGATCTCAGTTTTTGACTTTGAATAAGAAGACTAAGGAAGAAGCATAATGCTATCCATGTATTCATGCATGGTGGGCGGAAAAGCCACCATATAAGCTCTCTAGATTCTACCCCACGTCTACCCTACATCATAGTTTTACATTTTTTAAATAAAATTAGAACGACACTGATAAACCGGAATTTAAGTCGGCCATATTTGAGGCCCATCGCGGTGTACCTAAGATTTTTTATATGCTCCTTCCTTAGTCTTCTTATTCAAAGGGACACACGCTAAATGGACTTGATTTTCCTATGTCTCGAAGTCTGTGGACTTTTTTGTATAATCTCACAGTAATTTAATAGATTGCTCGTCATATTATATCAGCTCGTAGGAGATTAGGAAAGAAAAAAGATATTTATAGTATAAAAAATTAATTTATTTAACAAAATTTAATTAAAGATGTGACAAAATAGTTACATTTCTATTGGTTCTATCGGACTTTTTTCGACTATATAAATCTTTATTTTTAGTAAACTTTAATGCATAAAATATTTTCAATCTAATAAATAATTTAATGATGTAAATAAGAGGAAATTTCTCACATGGTTGGTCAAATTCTATAGTTTTCATAATATCAAACAGCTTCTGAATGTTTTCTTCAGTGCAAAACTCATCAAAATTTAATATAAATAATTTTTCCAGCCTGTAAATAAAATGAACAAATTTTTCCACTTTCATGATCAAAGGCTTTTAAATGGGTAAATAATTTCGAGTTATCCAGAGATTCGGAAATATCACATTGATGTATTTGAAGACCCTTTTTAATGATGTAGTCAAACATAATTAAAGGCATTTTGAGTTGAAAACATTTCTCAGAGGCTGTTTGATATAATGAAAACTATAAAATTTGACCACCCATGTGAGAAATTTCCTCTTATTTACATCATTAAATGATTTATTAGATTGAAAATATTTGATGTATTAAAGTTTACAAATATAGATTTATATAGTCGAAAAAAGTCCGAATAGAAAGGTAACTATTTTGTCACATTTTAAATTAAATTTTGTTAAATAAATTAATTTTTTATACTATAAATATCTTTTTTTTCCTTATAAATAAACACATTTGCATCCCATTTTAAATAAGATATACAAATACAAAAACTTAGAAATAACAGTTAAAAAGTTCAACAAAAACCCTACACGCGTTTTTAAAAAGAAACATATAACCACGCACTATGTCATTCCAGCAAGCGAATACGACACAGCATAGGCTTCCGGACTAAACGACTGGTGTATTTACACCACTCAATAGGCGTGTCGGGTTTGCCGAGCGGTTTCCGATGCAGTCGCTTTCTTTCGCATCTGTTATAGGTAATTTGTGCCTGTGTATAGAAAAGGATTTTGAAGGATTGAAACACTCTCGTGATATTATTTGCTGTAGACATTTATTCGAAATAACTGTTTACAATAATATAACATCAATATAATTTAGATTATACAGTACAAGTTACAGTAATAATGATATGTATCATATGATATGTATTAATTTTAATCGAAAACGACTTGTCACTCTTTAAATATCATCAGCTAAAAGAGGAAAGCGCTTCTTAATCATATTTATCGACTAATTCATTTAGTTTAGAACACTTGGCGCTTTTCTTTTTAGAAAAATACGCTTTTCTTGCCCTTTTTCATAGATTTTTTGAGAAAATAATAGTAAGTAATCGTAGTAGATTGATCTAACTCTACCATGACTCTACCCTCTATCCATTTCTAACAAGTTTGATTTGATTTTTCTGCCTTCAGTATCATTGTACGTTCAAATCCAACGATTTATTTTTTGTACCATGTCTTTATATCGACGAATCACAGAAAAATCTGATGGTGGACGATATTCTTCCTCAAATTGACGGAAATACCATAATTTTCTACGTCACACGAATCATTTTTTCAATAATTTCTAATCTAGGCCAAGTCAATTATCGAAGTTAACTCACATTTCTTAACCTACGAGTAGTTTAAATTTTTTAAAATTAGTTAAGATCTATTATGTTGCCTCAGCCATTAAAATGGTCTTTTTTTTCTTTAAATACATTTACATACAGATAGAATTATTCGAAGAAAACGACAAAGATGATAGAGGGAAATTATGAAATTGTATTCACATCGTCTCAGTGTAATAATGAAAAATATAACAGACGATTTGATGGGAAATATCAATAGATATATTGCCAACAAAAGAGAAGCCCACACATGTACCTATATCTAAATATTTAGCAGAAAAATATTTTTTGTAATGGAATAGTATTTAACTGATATGTAACTGTCTTTAAATCTTATAAATACTGTGTTTAAATATTATAAAAATAATCTTATACAATATATTTATGTAACAACATATAGACTTGTACAGCATGAATATGATCAGTGTAGTTGTTTATTCATTGTTACAATAATTATTTATATTAAAAACTTGTATACATTTATTCTAGATAGTTCTAATATAATTTTTATCCCTTATCCAACTCTATTTTTTAAATATAAGTTAGTAAAATGTACAAAAACGATAGTTTCAGTACATTTTATAATTCCATAATGTATTAATAGTCTAGAATTGGTTGATATATCGTTCAAACTTTAGTCAATTGTCATATACATACTGTTTCGACTGAAGTTCTTTAAAGCCAAGACTCTATATTATATCAGTTATATATTAATATGGAGATATTTTAGTGTTGGAGCTTCTCGATAGTTGGCAAAAATAGTTCACAGGAAAGGATTGTTTAAATTTGATGATCTTCCTTGAAAGGATGAATAATAATTTAAGTAATTTAGTGCATCATTGGGCGTTTGAATGCGCCCAGGCCGGTGATTCTCTTCTCGCCAGCGGTGTGTTCCACTTCGTTCTTGATCTGATCTGTGGCAACGGGGCCTATGCATACGAGGGGGTCCTTGAAATAGGAGCAAACCTGAAAACAAAATATCCAGTCAATGACTAAAGAATCCAAGGACATCTAACGATATACGGGCTGCAGCAGAATTTGTTACGTTAGACGCCATCATTTTGGAGCCTACGGATGAGTCACCACCTCGTCAAGAAGCGACAATTTTAGCGATTTTTAATAATTTGTTGTGTGTAGTGAACTTTGTATAAACTTTATTAAAATGATGATGTGTTCAGCTTTCAAGTGTAAAAGCCGCAACCATAAGTAAGAGCCAGGAGTTGCGTTTTATAAGTAAATAAACAGTCCGCTGCACCTTTTTAGCGTTTTCTTATTTCTTATTGAATTTGGTAATTATTTTTCTGATACTATACAGGGTGGCCCATCGAAAACGTTCCGCAAGGCATAACGGCCAGGGTAATTTTTTTTTCACACAATTCAAAAACACGTCAATTTTGTTTGTGAGGGGGACAACTTTTGCCCCAAAAATGATTGCAAAATCTTCAACCCTCTAAGCGGGGGTGTCATCCCCCAATTTTTTTCAAATGGGAAGGGGGGTCAAGTGGTACCGCAATGAAAAGGGTTTTTTATTCTCTATACTTTCCCGCTTCGTTTTTGAAAATCGGTCGAGCCATTGAGAAAATATGAAGGATTGAAATTTGAAAATTTTATTTAAACATTTATCAGATAAGGATAAATTCCTTCGACCAATTTGCAGTTTTTTCTTATTATTTCTAGATGTTTACGTATTTTTTCCCTTGCCAGAAGGTTGAACGATCAGGTGCGGTAGTTGCTAGATAGCTGTTCTGTGACTTGGGCGTTGAAGCGGTTGAAGTTCTTTTCAATATCGTTAAACTTTTTAACAATTATGGTGTACTCACTTGCAGAAAGAGTGGAAATAATCGAACTTTATTTTAAAAATAATGACTGTGGCAATCGGGCTGCGCAGATATTCAATGAACGCCATCCTGACAAACACCTTCATGGCAAAATTGTTCGCGAGTTAGTAGCAAAATTTCGCGAAACTGGTTCCGTTATGAATAAAAAGAGGCAGAGGGAAAATCCTGTAGTAAATGAAGCTATGGAGGTATTCGTATTGGGCGAAGTTGCCATGGATAGTACGCTGAGTACAAGAAAATTAGCCAATGAGACCGGCGTGAATCGTACAAGTGTCCAAAGGATATTAAAAAACACAAGTTCCACCCGTACAAAATTCAGTTGGTACAAGAACTCAACGAAGACGATTTTGATCGTCGTTTGCAATTTTGTGAAATTATGAGTGAACGAGTGGCGAATGATAATAATTTCCTATTTAATGTGTGTTTTTCGGATGAGTGTACTTTCTTTTTGAACGGTGTAGTTAATCGGCACAACTGTCGATACTGGGCTCAGGACAACCCCAGGGTTTTTCACGAGGTGCACACCCAAAACCCTCAGAAATTGAACGTGTGGGCTGGTATTTTTGGAAATTCTATTGTAGCTCCTTTTTTTCTTCCTGGAAATCTAACAGGTGATATGTACTTGGATTTACTAGAAAATACCATCGACTCAGCCCTAACTGACATCATAGAGAACAATCCTGGATACGTTGAAGCAAAATGTGCATAATTATTTAAACAATAACTTTCCCGGTCGGTGGATAGGACGAAGGGGTGCAGTTGAGTGGCCTTTCCGGTCACCCGACTTGACTCCTTTAGACTTTTTTCTATGGGGTCACATAAAAAGTAAAGTGTATAGCACTCCACCCGTCTCATTAAGCCGGGTCCACATATGTAGCATCTTGGTGTATCATATCTCCGTCGCGTTGCACCAACATATATCATGATGACTAGTTTGGACGCCGAATTAACGCGATCATATGGTACACCTTTGTGATACCGTATCTGATACATGCCAATCCGAATTTTGGCGCGTATCTTAACACTGCGTATCGGATACACGTATTACGATCTGTCATTTGGACGTGTTTTCATACAGTATAACGATATAATTGACTTGATACGCCGTGACCCGTCTTGAGGCGGTTTTTCTCCGATCATCAAAGGGACATCGAGGGTTCGCTGACAAGAATTGATGAATATGATACGACGATACAAGGTGATTTGTTGTACCGTCCACATATACTGATACGCACGCTTATACGGTGATACATATGAATTTTATAAGTATGGACGCTTACTTTGGCACGATATGCATATTCACTCGACACAGCCCAAATAAACGTCCATACTTACGATACAAGCTCTTGATACGTGATACATGATCCTGATACAATAGAGTGCTACATATGTGGACCCGGCTTTAGAAGACCTTCGAAGACGAATTATTGATGTTTGTCGCGAAGTGACCCCGCCAATTGTTCAGAATGTTCGAGAACGGTTTGAAAATAATTTGTATTACTGTATGGAGGTTGACGGGCAACATTTTCAGCATTTGCTTCATTAATTAGGTAAGTTTTTTTTTAATTAATTCAATTTATGCGTTTTTTTTTGCAAAAAATACTTTTCAAATTTCAATCCTTCATATTTTCAAAATGACTCGACCGATTTTTAAAAACAAAGCGGGGAAATATAGAGAATATAAAGCCCTTTTGGGCCACCCTGTATGTACTGGATATGTGCTATACGTCGATACTAGTTTTGTACCTTTTGTTAATATTTTAATACGTTTTTTTCGTAATTAATTAGTATGATACCACCGCCTACACCATAGGCGTAGTCAAAGCAATTATCAAATTATAAATATCCCTTCAAGCAGCTAAGTTAAGAAAAATATATGGCCACGGCACTGTTTGGAGCCATAGTAACAATTTGGTCTCGGGTGTTATATGTCCTTGTATTCTTTAGTCATTGTATCCAGTACTAACATGAGAATAATATGAAATATGAATTACCAGCTCCAGAGCTTCAATATAAAACCTTTAAATATGGTTTGTGTCAGCATGTTTGTATTTTAATTAAAATCTCCCCTAAATCTATACAGGGTGAGTCTTAAATAATATTTGCAAACATTTTCAAAGTTGGTAGATGTCGATTAAAAAAAAATAAAAATAATCAAAAAAATAAAATATAAAATTATTATTTATAAATATATATATTTTTAAAAATCTCTTTACTTTTTTTCAAATAAATCCAAAATAACCCGGTTATTTTAATTTGAAAATTTTAAAAAATATATTGTTTCGCTTAAATTTTCAGCTTAACCACTGTATCTTTTCTGGGGGTTTCTTCTTGTAAATTTAATCTAAAAGGTAAGACATAAATTATTTAAGTTTAACCTTAACTGCTTCAAATTTTTCATTATTTCTTCATAATCTCGATTATTTTAAACACGAACCGAAATTATTTTCGCTAGGATTAAGAAAGGAAAATATCAGAATCCTGCCCTGGCGAAAGATAACCCTAAGGGCTATAACTACGCTCGCATTGTTACGTGGGTGATAAAAAGATTCATATTTCGCGGTAAATTGCCTGGGACGAAAATAAAATATGATATTGCGAACGGGGCGGGCAAGATATGCCGACGCAGAAAGCGATTTATAGATAACGTAACGTTAAACCCAGAAAAAACTGAAATAAAATAAGGGCTATAACAAGACTATAACACGCCATAATTCATAATAATACCATATGATAGAAAAAAATCGAGTAAAAGACGGCTGGGGAATGAAAATCGATGATAATTTTGGCCGTTATTTACTTGGCCAGTGCTCTTATTTACTCTCTCTCTCTCTCTTTTCAAAATACTGAGGGTGCCATTTAAAAATCAAAATTTGTAGTCATTTCCGGTGAAACAGGAAGTGACCGAAAACAATTGAATACGTCAATCAATCTTAATTGATGTCATATACTAACTAAATACCACATCCCGTTTTTTTAACTGAAAAAATAAAAGAGTTATAGGGGTTGAGCCACTTTTGAGTCGCAGCCGGTATTAGTGGCACTTTTGACCACCCTGTAACTTTGTTGTGAATAAAGCAAAATATTAATTTTGCTAAGTTTATAAGGAAAAGAAAAAATAAAAAATCTTGAAATATCCTTATGGATTATGTCACGTCTCGGGTCGCCTCGATAATAAATATTTTTTTTAATTGTAAATTAATTCCTTCTTAACGGATACTACGTCAGCAATTCTTATTCCGAATTTATTTTGGGCATATACAGGGCACAACAATAAGACGAAGTTTTTTGCCTAAACTTTGTAACCCAGCTGTAGTGGCTATTGCTAAATCAAATCACATTGCAGCCTCATCTTTTGTGAGCATTTTGTTTTTTTTATCACGACATTATCTCTGTTTATATTGGAGATACGCTGCTTTAAAACAAACGCCTCGAAAAAAGCTTTAAAATCAAATCAAACATCAGAACGTAGACGTAAACTAACTAAAACATGAAAATTAAAAAAAGGTAAAGAAATTTTAAGGGACTAATATAGCAAAATAAAAACACTAAATCACCACAATACACCAAAACACTTTTACACTGGACGCGCGTTTCGCTAACCATGTTAGCATCATCAGCAGATGATTATAAACTAAAGTACAATCTAAAAGTTGAGCGTTTATATACTCGCTCAGTGGGCACCGAGTGGGCGTGGCAAAATCTAGCCAACCGAGTCAGAGCCCACTGAGCGTGACAGTTAGATTTCCGCCACTAGAGTAGCAGGAACAAAGAACTTGAAGGAACTGGACCGTTGACTCTGTTCATACTATCTTTACATTTATTAATTCTGATGCTTTCATATGCATCTAATTGCCTGTAATTTGAGACTTGTTTAATTAATTTTAAATTATTAAGATCTATACAATGTTCTTTATCAACAATATGTTCGGCAACGCAAGATTTATCCGGTCTACCATATCTTATCTGAGCTAAATGTTCTTTAAATCTCGGTGATTAAAAAAACAAAATGCTCACAAAAGATGAGACTACAATGTGATTTAATTTAGCAATAGCTACTACCGCTTCTGCACCCTACAGGGTGTTACAAAATTCGGGCAAAAAACTTCGTCTTATTGTTGTGCCCTGTATATGCTCAAAATAAATTCGGAATAAAATTTTCTGACGTAGCATCCGTTAAAAAGGAATTAGTTTACAATTTAAAAAAAAATCATTAAAATCTAATGAGTGGTTAGCGAGAAATCCAACTTTAAACTTGGGTCTAGTTTTTAGTGGCCGTTTTTTTTTGCCGGTGACTTTATAAAGAAAACAATTTTCTAATATCAAAAGTGAAAATACATGAAAATATAAAAGCAATTTTCATCTCGCCGCATAAGTTCTGATTTGCCTATTCAGTAACATTTTCCTTAAATTCAATTGTATGGCACCCGGGAAAGGTAATATAAAAAATTCAATTTCCCAGCAACAATGGCCGACTGGGAAAATAAACACTATGTCTACCATGTTTATTCGGAAGAAACAAGATTTAAAATGCGATTTTAAATTGAATTTCTATTTTTATGTCTTATTTACCTGAACAGTTTTGATGTATATGATGTATATAGTACAGTTTTCTATTACTTGGGAAATAGATTTTAAGTTTTTTGATAATATACAAGGTGTCCCTATTTTTCATGGACATAGAATTACTACGTATTTTTGGAATAAAAATAAGTTCATTGAACATAATTTACCTCTGTACAGGGTGGGTCAAATTAGTATTATAAGACCATACCAACAGGTATGGTAGGCTATTAAGATCGGCAACAAAAAGTTTTTTTAATATTAAACTATAATATATACAGTTCGGGACAGGCCAACTCTGCGGGTTGGATTTTAACGTGTAAGACAGTGATGTAGACAGCTTAATGGCAAATCAAATGTATTAAAAAGAGAAAAAAGTTGGGTGGGTATGGGTGGGTACATTTTTTTTGAGCGGGATTGCCGAATTTTGCATCAAAATGAGTTATTTGGGCCATAAATGACCTAAATACAAAATATTTTCATGGTGTCTGTCTGTCTGTCGGTCTGTCCGTCTGTAACACGATAACTCAAAAACCGCTAAACCGATTTTAATCAAATTTGGCACAAAAATACCGTGGCACCCGGGAATCTGGCCATTAGTTTCAGGTGGGGGTGGGGGGTTGGTAAGGGGGTATGGGAGGGGGTTAAAAATTTTAAAAAATCGTAACTCCAAAATTACAGTAGCTAGCGAAACGCGGTTTCCAATTTAAGATTAGGAATACTATTTGCAACAAAATTTGTAATAACATCAAAATCAGTCAAAGTCGCAGTTTTTGAGATAAAAAATATTGGAAAAATTCCTGTACTTTGAAACTAAAAGAGCTGCCTATAAACTTTTTATTAACATATTTTGTATGGGCGGCTATACGTGCCTCCCGGCGCCAATTTTTTCTTTTATTTTCTCTTAAAATGATCCTCTAGTATTTACTTCATTTTTGTCTCTTATAAAAAAAACGCCACCGCGCATACTTATTGAGGAAAAAAATATTTTTCCGAAACTGACTTCCAAAAAAAATGTTTTTGTATCACAGATTATATTTTTTGACAATAAGCTTCATAAAAAGCTTAAAAAATAATTAAATTTTAAATTAATTAACCTTGGTGTTTATTTTTGATTGATGCCCTCTAACGGACCAACGAAGCGCTTTTGTATTTTGATTCAAAACATAAGTAGTTCTTTTATGACCACGGTATATTGCAACTCCCTCTAAATTAAATTAAGTCTCCTCTGGAAAAATAGTGTTAAATTTTTTTTTCTCAAAAACTATGCGATGTGGCGTTTTTTTTATAAGCGATAAAAACAAATACCCTATGTAGGTAATAATGCTTTTTTATCAATAATACCTTTCTTGGAGCTTGTCTGTGACGTCTCTGCAATTGACAGCACAATCCTCTAGAAATGTCGCATTCACTTGACATGTGACAGGGCTCAGAATACTGTTTGTCTTGGTGTACCGGTGGTCTGAAAGATATAACACATTTTTTTATTAAAATAAACAAATTAAGTTGTTTTTTATCTAATATAGCGTGTACCAGCGACTTCGTTCGCGTCGAATTAATCATTTGTAATGGTGATGATAAAGCAAAGCAAGAATTTCCATTAACATACAAACTGGATAAAATTTTCTCACATTTATGTCAGCATGGGAAAAACAATATGGCGATATTATTATATTACTTGGTAATATTTGCGGGGTAGTTTCATCTCGTTGGAATTTGACTTTCGAAAAATCCGTTTGCCAAAAATAAGCTTTTTACGTCAAGCAGTTTAAGCGGTTTTTATACCGGTTTATATATAAAAAATATTTTAATATTTGAGGGATAGTTTCACCCCCTTAGAATTCGAGTTTCGAAAAATCCCTTCTTATCGAATCTCTACACCCTAAAGTCAATCTGTTTTCCAAAAATCAGCTTTTTACGTCAAGCGCTTTAACTAGGATCGTGATTAATCAATGACCAGATTTTTCGAAACACCCTGTATACGTTTTTAAAAAATCTTAAAATATGTAAAAAAACAAAATAAAATATACGTGTTTAAGCGTTTTTTCGGAAACTTGACCGTTTTTTAAATAAAAAATATGGTAATATTTGAGGGGTGGTTTCACCCTCTTGGAACTGGAATTTCGAAATATCCCTTCTTATCGAACCTCTACACCCTAGAATCAACCTGTATGCCAAAATTGAGCTTCTTACGTTGAGTGGTTTGAGCAGGATCGTGATTAATCAGTATGTCAGTCACTTAAGGATTTTATATATTAGTATAGATTTAAAATCAATTTTCATTATGTGACGGATAAAGTTACATTTACACATAACGTTTTTACCTGCCAGTCTTACATGTAGTTGAGGCTTGCATGTATGTTTACTTGAACTGAATTAAGAAGGAAGACCATAATATTAAAAATGATAGGAGAACTAAACCCTGAGTATGAACTCTCTGTATACAATCAAATGGTTTATGAATTCAAGTTCCCATTTGTTTGGAAGGAAGCTAAACTTATAACAAGAAGGAAGACCGACCAAAACTATCCTTTTGCTTACATTCACATAGAAAATTCACAAAAAATAATATGGCCATATTGCAGCATTTTTAATAAGCTACTTTACTTGAAAATCTAACATTTTGGCATAGTTTCACAAAATAATGTAATTTTACAAAATTGTTTAGAGATATTTAATGATACTATTATCATAATTAGTTTTGAGTGTTTAAAAACGAAATTTAAACCATGACTAAATTTTTGTAGTAAATTTCATTTTCTTTTCAGCTTCACAAAACACAATGGTATAATTAATAAAATGACAGGTAAGATTTTCAGGAGTTTTAAATCCGTGTTTACCTGACAAGTAAAACGTTATGTGTAGACCTGGCTTAACTCCAGTTTAATTAATAGTTTATTAAATTAAAATGAGGATTTTTACAAAAAAAAAAATCAAATTTCGTAGGCAATTGAGACAGAAACAAAAAAATAACCAGACACATTTTATGTTAGGGTTGAATTGCTAATTTAGGCAGAAACTGTGAAATTATTTTAGTCAGGACTGTATTAGTTTTTTAAATTTTAAATTTAATGTTGGTGAAACCGTGCGCTGCGAGATTACTGAATAATACAGGGTTGTTCACCACATACCACTCGGAGTATTGTAGCTAAACGATTAGATTTTTACAAATTGTAAGTTGTGGGTTCGTTGAAGGACTATTAGAGCTACAATTTAAAAATATTTTTACCAGACACAGAGTGTCCCAAATAAATAAAAAATATCAAAGTTGTATTTTTTTAAATGGAACACCCTGTATATTATTACATTTTTAGTTTATACGATTAAAATAAAGGTAAATTTGATTAAGGTTTATTACACTTAAACCTTACCGTTTTTGAAATATTTTCAATTTTGTGAAATTGCAACAAAAATTTTAAGGCTTCATTTCTCCAAGGGTATCAAAGTTTTTAATACTAAATATTTACTGAAGTTTATTTATTGATCAGTTAATACGTTGCAATAATAAAAATAATACTACCTCATACAGAGTGTCTAAAAATTTATTTTAAATAATTTCCAGCTTTAAACGGCAATAACTTGTTTAATTTAAATAGAACGCCCTGTATATTTTAGGAGAATCAGATGCACAATTTAATTGTCTATCAAATTGTATTATACCATTTCTTACCTATCCCTTCAAGTTTCCGTAGAAAATGCATTTTCTTATAATTTAGACCTCATTTATCAATATACCCATGGAATATTGACATTTTAGATTGTTTTTAAAGCAACATATGTACAAAACGTACAGGCTAGTAATATTATCGTTTTTAGCAAAACGATAATATTACCAGCCCATTTGTATGCAAGAAGAAAACTATTTAAATCTTTATAAAAGAGTATACCATTAATTAAATATACCACCATTATTTCCGCCCAAATACTGATTAATTACATACTTAATTGTGTTCGTTAATAAATTATTCTGAATAAACGTGAATTTGAATCAGAAATGATTATAATAATAAGTTATGAAAATGAACGTCTCTGTTGTTATGAATAAGCATTTGTGAAAAAATAAAATATCATTTTTAAGGTGTTACTTTTTACCATAGTGTCTAATACACATACAAAATTCAGTTTTTTAGTATTTGGAGCAATTATTATTAATCAACGCAAACAGTCAATTAATGTAGTTTGAATACTGGAATCATATTAATTGGTCCTCTTTAACAAATATTTAAACAGTTTTTTTTTATTTTTTAATGAAATAACCGAATTATATCGACAATATTAATATCAGTACTCTTTAAAAATTTGATACATCTTTAAAAATAAGCTAAAATGTCAGTATTCCATGGGTATATTGATAAATGAGTTCTAAATTAAAACAAAATGCATTTTCTATGGAAACTTGAAGAGATAGGTAAAAATGGTGCAATACAATTTGATAGACAATTAAATTATGCATCTGATTCTTATGAAATATATAGGGTGTTCCATTTAAATTAAGCAAGTTATTGCCGTTTAAAGCTAGTAATTATTTAAAATAAATTTTTAGACACTCTGTATAAGGTAGTATAATTTTTATTATTGCAAGACAAAATTCAGTAAATATAAATACTTGAGTACAATATTTGGTTTTAAAAACTTAAATACGCTTAGAGAAATGAAGCATTAAAATTATTACTGTATTTTGACAAAAACCAAAATATTTCAAAAACGGTAAGGTTTAAGTGTGATAAACCTTAATCAAAATTACCTTTATTCTAATCGTAGAAACTAAAAATGTAATAATATACAGGGTGTTCCATTTAAAAAAATACAACTTTGATATTTTTTATTTATTTGGGACACTCTGTATCTTGTAAAAATATTTTTAAATTGTAGCTCGAATAGTCCTTCAACGAACCCAAAACTTACAATTTGTAAAAATCTAATCGTTTAGCTACAATACTCCTTGTCTATGTGGTGAACAACCCTGTATAGTTCGGAATGGTAGCATGAAATGTGATGTAAAATTTGTAATTCTATGTACATATTTAAAAAAAAATATATTTTCCTATGTATTAGTAGCATGGATTATTGACATCGGAATTCCACTCACGCACAATATATTCAAAACAGAACAAGAGAAATGTAAGAAAGTATACTAACCTAGCTATACCGGGTGCGTCTCAAAAGTGGCTCACCCCTATAACTTTTTTTATTTTTCCAGATAAAAATATGAAATTTGGTATGTTAGTATACGATATAAATTAGGATTTATTGACGTATTCAATTGTTTTTGGTCACTTCGTGTTTCATCGGAAATGATTACAATTTTTAATTTTTAAATGGCATCCTCGGTATGTTTTTACTTTATTCGATAGAAAATTACATTCTGAATAGAATAACTTATCATATGTCAACTTTTGACATTCTCGCTTGATAAAAAATCGTATTTTAAAATTCAATCTAGAGTGTCATGGCTATGTTATAAACACTAATTCTTACTCAAGGAAACTTGGAAAAATAGATTTGATCGTCTAATGTTTTTAGTGTCTTGTCCTGGCCAGTTGGAAAATGCTTAAATCGTATTTTTAATCATATCTCAATTTTTTCAAATGGAACGAGGGTGGCTCATTAACATATTTGGAAAAAGCATTTTTTACGAATAATTTGATACCACATACTTGGTATCTCGAGTCAAACTTTCGTTACGAACCGCAAGTTTGCACCCGGTAGAGGTAAAACGCATTTGGAACCTAAACAAAGTTAGTATTGTGCCCCGTATAATCTCCACCGAAGGAATTTGTACCACCAATCTTTCGCCTATCTTGGCTAAATTCGAACTACCAAAAGGCCCACGTTATCCCATGCAAAAGGCCGTAATTTTACAAACCTGCCATCTAGTTCGTAAGTTCCTTCCTTCACAGGATGAAGTGAATTCTTTCTCTGCGTATATATCGCCCGACATGAAATGTTGAAATTCAAAAGAAAGGAAAAGAAATAATAATAATAATTGATTTTGAAGGCGACATTACGTTCATTACATTTTTTGATCATTTATATGTTAAATTAAAGTTATGTTTATTCTGTGCATGAAGTTATAAGGGTGTCTATAAAAAAGTTGCCGCAAATAGGGGTTGCCACTGTTCAAAATCGTTAATAATGCTTTATACGGGACCGGCAACAGTGTGTCGGGCATCTGTAACTCTTATAATAAAAAACTTATCAATTTTGTAAAAGTACCAACTTAAAGTATGTGTTAGGATATATTTCAAGAAAATATTTGAACTTCTACAGGGTGCAAGACATATATTTGTTATAGTTATTCGTTGGAAACTCACCTACAAACTCTGGCGTTCGGTCCAGAGTCGGACTCAGCGCAAACCAATCCTGATTCGCAGTCGGAATCTCTTCGGCAAAGTTCGCCTACTCGACGACCGTAGGCGAAGACGCACGTACCAATCACTAATAAAAACAATAAAAAAACAGTTAGTATAGTTAATTTTTAATAATATTAGTGAGATATGTTTTGTCAACAAATTTCAAAACGCTTTTGTGTATGCGTTAAAACTTAAGTTTGTTTTTTTCTTTTTACACCATTTATTTTAAGGCTCATCTTATTCGAAGTTGGTCAAAGCATAGTATAAGGAAACTAGTAGCTTTATTCCTTGTCAAATCCTTTGTCCTTTTACTGCCACTTTATATGACCTCGTTCTCGCGTCCCGTGACCACTGACGTAGCTGTATAGTCGTGGTCTATAACTAGGCAAAGTATTGCACTTTGTCGAAACAAGGACGCAATATCCACAGAAAGTAAATGTTTGGGCAGGGATATTCGGACACAATATTATCGGGCCATTATTTCTTACGCGAAATTTAAATGCAGAATATTATTTGGAACTACTCGAAAATCATATTTTACCTGCTTTACATGATGCCGCTAGGGAAAATCAGGAAGTTTGGTACCAAATGGATGGCTGCCCGGCACATAGTACCCTGGCTGTTCGGGAATATTTAGACAATAGTTTTAACGGAAACGTTATTGGCCTAAATCATACAGTAAATTGGCCAGCAAGGTCTCCTGATATTTCGCCAAATGATTTCTTACTCTGGGGCCATTTAAAAAACAGGATATACAAGGACAAAAAAAAACCAAATCTAGACGAGTTAAATAATGCTATTTCTGCCGAATGCAATAGAATTTCAGTTTACCAACTAGCGAATGTAAGAAGAAAATTTTATGATCGCCTGGGTTATTGTCTAGCAGTCGATGGAGGAATATTTGAACATCTTCTTAAATTCTAAAGTTCTAACAATTTAATAGTACCTAAATTAATAAGTTATTGAATATTGTAATAATACTATAATTAACCTTGTAATTGATTACTTTATTTTACTTTAATTCATATTAATTTGTATTTATAAATACATCTTTAAGATTTCCGATGTAGGAATGAGTTTTCTGAAATGATAACTTCATTTGACAGTTATCTTTTACCTTGACTGGTGCTCATAAGTAAATGCAGGGCCATAAGAAAGGAGAAATGTTTAAAAAGAAATCGGCGATAACTCGTAAACGAGCTAATCAAAAATATCTAAAGTTATTCTTTTGAATGTGGGTTTTAGTGCTCTTCAATAAACCTAAATAGAATTAGTCTCTAAAATAATTAGGGAAGCCAATAATTGACCCCATTAAAATTTACATGGGATTTTCTATGTCCCGTCCGACGATGCAACACCCGGTATAGTATATCTTGAATACCTTCCACATTTTCAGAAAATAATCAACTTTGTTTAGTTATTTTTATGTGATGCGCTTCATAACCGGCATTTAATTAAAATAAATAAATAAATGTTCATTAGAAACCTTGTTACAAGGCTTTCGCTGTAACAAGCTCTCCCAATTTGCGCCACACCAAAATCATATTCGGCGAAATTAGAAATGCATGGCCCGCTGCTTCTATAGAATTTATGCTGTATTACTGCAGCGTATTAAGTTATAAATTACACTGTTCCCGAATTCATTACACAGTCTCTAGGACCGCTGGCGGTGTATTACTGTATTACTTGGTGCATTAAACGAGACGGGAAACTCAGAAACAACTCAGGACTATGCGTCTAAATTCCAGCCCACACGTTATAACTTTACTAGGTTACAAAGGATTAAACGTATAGTCTCCGCTGATAAAGGGCATGAAATTGAATACTTTAGAGAGGGCTAATAGGAATTATTTCAGTTAGTTCAGTAATATTATGCCTCAAATTGGGATATATCCGACAAAATTCATAAAGTTTTCAAAATTGGTGGAAATAATCAGGACATCATATGAATTAATAAACCAAAAAGTTCCCACTCCTAAATAGTGTGCGTCATGCCCCAAGACATCGTTTCTACCCCCATTTTGAGTTTTTTTAGATAATCTTGGCAACGGTGCAATTCTCGACAAAAATACCTATATAGAGAATTGTTGTTCATAAAATTCTCTATCAAAAAGGTAATTACAGTTTTTTTCTAAAGTTAATAATAAAGTGGCAAATAGGGCGCAAATATAAGTGTTACCCCTGTAAAAAGGGTGATTTGTACTTATTTCCACATCACCCTAGGAGTAAAGTATTTGATGCGTTTTTTTAAGTGGTATCCCCTGCAGGCTTAATCAACTAATTATCAAATGTTAAAGATGGGATTTTTTTTTAAAAGTTTAAAAGTGCCTCTTGCAAATCGTGTAAAACCGATATCTAGTTTGAGCAATACAATGAAAATGAATGGCAATGATGCTCGAGTTGACTCAACACTACTTCAAAGAAGTATTTGCACCGTTCATTCTAGCCTGGAGTTAAAAAAGTGCTTTAGCTGTTAGAAGGTATAGAAGTATTTGTTGCTGCAGATGACGCCGATTTATTAATAATTCAAACTGCTATAGAAAAATCTAATTATTGCGATACAACTGTTATAGTAGGGCAAGATAGTGATCTGCTAGTTCTTCTTATTGCACTATCTCCCTCTGACAAAGATATCAAATTTTAAAAAAAAAACCAGGGTAATACTTGCAAAAGGATTTACAGTTCTCAAGATTTACAATCCGCAATTTTTCTAAAAAATTGCAAAAACGCTATATTATTTGTACACGCCATTAGCGGTTGTGATACAACCTCGGCTTTTTCTCCAAAGGAAAGTTTAATGCAAACAATGTATTCGCTAAAAGAAGTGATATATAGTCTGTCCAACGAGAAGATCCTTGACAGTGATAGATGTGTCTGTCATTTTAATTTCAAAGTAGTTTATTTTATTTTACAAAGAAATAAGTTGATACAACTGGAACGCATAGCAGGAAATATTAAAAATTTGATTGACAAGATGACAAGTGATTACTTGAAAATATTGTGAAAAAAACTGTATAAAACTGAAAAAATGTAATCGAGTTATTTTATTTAATAAAACCGGTATGTGTTAATACAAAACAAACAAGAACATGACACTACACACCAAAAAAATATAAAAAAGAACTATTTTTTACTTTCAAGCTCTATGAAACTACCCGCATTTATGATTATATTTATCAATATAACTTATGTACAAATACAAATTTGTAATATTCCACAGGAATAAATAAAACAACATAGGTAAATAAAACAAACTATTTTATTAATAATAACACCTACCAAATTTTATACTTTAAAGGTTGATTAATTAACTTTAATCTTAATTTTTTTAAACCAGTACCTTTTGACATTATTTTTCTGCAGTACTAAAATCCATTATTTACCTATCGTGTGATGTCGAGATTTTACAGTTACTCCAGTTTTTAGTATGTGTTTAGTTTGATCCTTCTACCATATACGAGATGCACTTATCTACGACGAGATGGTATACAAACTTTAACGATGGCAACTTCATTGGTGTTTAAGACTTTCTGCCTGGGTAGCGAGTATTAACCATAAACTGTGCTCTGGGTCTACAGTTAATTTTCACTCGATTTTTCCTCCACTTGACTTCAAAAGACACAAAACACACGTAATAATACGAATCAAAATGCATCATCTTCCAAAACGCAGGGTATTTAACAAAAGTTGACACAAAATTATAACCTATAATTTGGGAAGACTTTGACATGCGTCAAAAATGACAAAAATCTAAAGGCGAGTTCATACGCATCGGCGTCCGTTTATCGTTCATCGTTCCGTCAAACCAATAAAATTGAAATACGATCTGTCATTTTTTAAATAAACCAATAAAACTGGTTAAAAACAACAAGACACAACGTATGACGGATTTATATTTAAACCCATCCATAGATAACTTAAAAATTATTAGAAACTTTTTTTAGTAAAATAAATAGATTGGTATGGGACGTCATCTGCTTTTTTTCTGTCATCGTCTGTCGAAATCTTACCTGCGAAAAAAAACAGAGTATACAACATATTGTACAAACTTTCAATAATGAGAAATGTACTCATGAAGAAATTGCAAACGTAGGAGAGCAATTTATTTTAGCTTTATACAACTGTACCTCGCAGTAGAAAGCAGTCTAGATGAATATAGATTTATGTACTTCAACAAACTTGTTGGTAAAGCCAACAACATTGTCATGTTGTCAAAACTACCACCAACTTCTGCTGCAGCTCGGCAACACTCGTATCGGGTTTTTCACCAAATTCAAACATGGAGAGGAGTTATGCTCGAACCTGGAACCTGAATCTGGGGGTGGAAAAATGTTGGCGGTATATTAACCCCAACAATGACAAACAAAGAGCCAGCCACCGCATCTGTTTTAACGCTTATTTCATGTTCATGCAAATTAGGGTGCGAATACAGATGTAGCTGCAGAAGAGCAGGCCTGCGTTGCTCTACAATGTATTATCATTGCCATGGACAGTCATGCTTGACTGTCTTATTAGAAACGATGTCCTGGGGGATGACGCACACTATTTAGGGGTGGGAACTTTTCTGTTTAGTAATCCTCATGCTATCCCCAACATACCTACCAATTTTCAAAACTTTCTGAATTTTGTTGGGTTTAAATCGTAATATTACTGGATTAAGTATAATTTTACATTTCTAAATTATTAATAATTGTAATTTTCTTCTAATGTAAATGCACTATGATAGTGCGAATACAAAAATGTTCTTTTGCCATTTTCGCGCTTAGGTCTGCAGAGGAGATCAATAAGTAATAATAACAGGTGATACTTCTAATTTGTACAACATGAATTAGAGAGATACTATATTTTTGGTAGCAGAAAATCATTAACATCATTAAACAGTATTTTTTCCATAGCGAGTTACGTTTTAAAAAATATGCAGAAATTATTATTTCAAGGAATTTATTCCGAGTAGAAAAAATATTGTGCTGGGTTGGCGTTGGTTTCTATGTAATTTAACAAATGAATAGAGCTGTCTCTTTAGTTGTCAGTTTTGAATCAATATTTTTTATTCTCTTTCGTGTCGATTGCTGATTGAATTGGAGC